TTTTGCCCTGTCCGGGCGGAGATAAGTGCTGATAAGTCCGTAACGTAGTCCAGAATCACATTCACACGGGAGCTCTCACCGGGGATCCACTACGTGGATGAACGACGCGTCTGCAGCCCTTGCGGGGCGAGGTGAGAGCTGAACGTTGTACACACGGGAGCACTCACCAGGGATCCACTACGTGGATTGAACGACGTGTTGGTGAGTGCTGAATAATGAAAAACAGGCAGTCACACGGGAGCACTCACCAGGGATCCACTACGTGGATGAACGACGTGTTGGTGAGTGCTGAATCCGAAGGCAATCACACGGGAGCACTCACCAGGGATCCACTACGTGGATGAACGACGTGTTGGTGAGTGCTGAATAAAACAACGTGAAGTCCGAAGGCAGTCACACGGGGCACCAATTGTCGAGTTGCAGCTCGGCATCCAGAGGAAAATCAGTCTCACACCAAGATAGGTTCCGAAATATGGCTCCTCCTAGGGCTTATGCAGCACAGCTTTTATTGTGTGAAATGTGTGAAAAAGAAAGATACAAAAAATACAAGTCAAGCAATTTGTTCTAGCCAGCAGATAAAGACCTTGGCACTAGACTATGCGAGCGATCAGACCATACTACGTTAGCCAATCATATGGGACAGCACGAGCTGTTCACGTGCTGTTCATGCTCCAAGGATGCTTCTAGCTATGAGATCACCCTGTAACAATAAAACTTTGCTCATGCTCTCATGTACAAACAATCATTTTCCCACAGTCTTGCTTGGTGAGCTTAGTAGCCAGTGGATGTTAAAAGAAAAGAAGACCATTTAAAATCCCCAAACTGCCTCAAAATATCTGTCAGGTCCCAGGACTTAGAGAATGTGGGTAGCAAGGGGCAGGGATGGTGCAAAGGTACCAGAAATCAGCAGACTGTGTGAGTCTTATCAGTTAAGTGTATGTTTGAGAGCAGTTCAGACATTCCAGTTTTTTGCAGGGGTGGGGGCTGCGGGGAGGAAGAAGAAGGAAGTTGGCTGTTTCAGACTTATAGTAAGAATCCTGGAGAGGCAGGTTAAGTTTACGAGGATGTTGTGAGTGCAATCCCTCTTGCTATGCTATATAGGAATATTTCTGGAGGAAGTAAAATTGAAAGCACACCTTTCTCCCTCTCCAGAACCAGACCTATCCACCCCTGCAATATAGCAATAAAAAAGCTCAGATTTGGGACTCAACCTGACCTGAGCCATTTGGTACTACATAGGAGACTAGGTGAAGGTCAAGAGAGAGAAAGAAAAGGGCTACATTTGTCCATTTTCTTTTGATTGGATTATACAGGAACATAGAGGGGGGAAATATAGCTTTAGAACCATTAGTTCTCTTTGGGCCTAGCCTTGAGAGTCACTGGAATGGAGGGCATGTGTGAATTACACTTTTTAATAATGGTATAGAGAAAATTTGCCCTTTGGGTCTTGAGGTGAAGTTAGCAGTTTTAAGATCGCAGTCTTCCAAACCAGGCTCAAAGCCGTTCTGCCATAGTGTGCCTGAGGGAGTTGTCATGGATTCAAATGCCTGTCCTCAACACAGTGCTGGCTGGTGTCAGCCCATGAATCTGTAACTTACACTTTCTGATGAATACATGGTACAAATAATTTTTTTCCCTTTCTTGCTCCTTTCTTCCTTTCAGATTATTCCTTGACTAGTGCAGACCTGTCAGCCCTGCAGGGTTTTAACTCCCCAGGAATGCTGTCATTAGGACAAGTATCTGCCTGGCAACAGCATCATCTAGGACAAGCAGCCCTCAGCTCCCTTGTGTAAGTGGGAACACACTCCCGCCCCCATTCCCTGGAGGATTGGCAGCCTTTGCTAAGTTACACCCAACTAGGCACCTCTTCCATTTAGCCCACAAGCTCAGACTTGGCCCTATTTGGTTAGGCACAATGTTCTTTAACACTTCACTTTGAGTGGGTTGGGTATACATGGGTAGCTTGATCGGTGTACATACTGATTTGTGACTTGTAGGTGTTTTGCAACTCAGTGGGCTTGGAAAGTTATTTTGTAGGGAAATTCTTCTGCTCCTGCTTGTGCATTCATTGTCCAGCGCACCTCCCCCACCCTGCAAATAGTGATATTTTAACCTTCACTTCATTTGAATAAATACTCCAATACAAATGAAACTGACTTGACCATGAAGAAACTAAGCGGAGGGGTTGCCAGGAACTAGGCCACACACTTAGAGCTTGCGCATATGGCTCTAAATGGATTGCCGATCTGAGCACTCAGGCCTCTATTACTGAATTGAAGGAACAGCAGCATTTAAAAGTGCTCTATTAGTCATGTACAAACTTGGGTTTTTTTAATTGTCCTTCGTGACAGTTTCATTAAGCAGACTGGGGAATGAGTGATCTCAGGCACCCTCTGCACCCTCTATGTTGGGAGCTGCTCCTGGCAGTTGACTAGATGAGTTGTTTTGGATTGCAGCAGTGTAGCTTGTTCTGTAGTGGCTAAAACACCGAAGGGCAACATTATTTTATTACATACACCTGTTTTAAAAAACTGTTGATTGTATCTATATTTTGATAAATTTTATAGTGTGCTGTTTTTAAAGTCTGTTTTTATCTATTTAATGAGTATTTTATGTAAACCGCTTAATAATTTTTTTTAATTAAGTGGTATATAAATCTTGCTCCATTGGTTGGATACTGTCCTGGACTGTCTGAGCATCATAAATCTGGGTGGTGCATGAACACCTGTTGTGCATAGCAATTGGCCTGGTTTGCACGCAATGCTAAACCATGACTTAGGGTTAGGTGCAATAGCCTCTGTGAGTCTCATCAAAGCCTTGGACTCAAAAACTCCCACCTCCCCTCATAGGAATATAGGAAGCTGCCTTATACTGAGACAGGCCACTGGTCCATCTAGGTCAGTACTGTCTTCACCAACTGGCAGTGGCTCTCCAGGGTTTCAAGCAAGGGACATTCCCAACTCTACTTCAGAGGTTTTCCTTACATGCTAGCAGTATATAAATTTTCTTGAATAAAAGAAATTAAAGAAACATGTAGGTGGTGGGGCTTAAACCTGGGACCTTTTGCATGCAAAACAGATGCTCTACCACTGAGCTACAGCCCTCTTCCTGCACAACCAGGAGGAATGCAGTTGGTCAGTTGCAAAATAAGCTAACTTCAAACCTTGATTTGTTTTAACATACTAGAGTTTATTTTTTAAAACCACACTTCTGTTCAAACATACCAACAAGCCAGAAATTGGGGAAAGCAGAACGGAATCTCTATGTGCTTGTCTTTCTGGTCACACAGTGGAAAGGGAAGGGTGGGGGCATTCAGAGGCTCAGGCATGTAATGCCAAGCCATGGTTTAGCGTTGCCTGCAAACTAGCCCATTGTCTTTTGGAACAGAAGGGTATGTTAAAAACCTGTGTACATGCAGCCAGATTTGTTCTCAGTCTTGTCCAGCGTTGCTGCTTTTCCTTTCCCCCTGCCGTTTCCTTTTGTGTTTGCCTTTCTGAAAGTTTGGGTGACGGGGCTGTGCCTTGCTTATAGCTCATCTCTGTGAAACCCTATAAATAACGTTGCTTTTCTCCTCCCACCCCACCTCCGGTTTTAATTTTTTACTAGGACTGGAAGCCAGTTATCTCAGGGTTCCAACTTATCTATTAACACCAACCAAAACATTAACATCAAGTCCGAGCCAATTTCGCCTCCTCGAGACCGGGTGACCCCATCCGCGTTCCCCCAGCAGCAGCAGCAGCAGCAACAACAGCAGCAACCTCAGCAACAATCACGTCAGGAAATGGGCCGCTCTCCCGTCGACAGTCTCAGTAGCTCCAGCAGTTCGTACGATGGCAGCGACCGGGAGGACCCGAGGAGTGACTTCCACTCGCCGGTTGGACTGGGAAGGCCCCCAATTCAGAAGACAGAGAGAGCCCGACCGTAAAGCGGATGAGAATGGATACTTGGGTGACATAAGCTTCCCATTCTCCCTTTCTCCCTTCCGTTTCTACTTTTGAGTTATCCCAATGGACAGTCCTGACATATCTAAATTTATAAATAAGGACATGAAAGAAATATTTATATGTATATACATACATGCATATATATAAATATATATATCTTTGTATACATATACATGTGTGAGTGTGTGAAGCAAGGCACACATACTCTCTCTTTCTCTCCCTCACACACAAAATCAGCAGGCACTTAAATACCAACTCCTCCTATAGCTGCAGATGCCCCGTGGTTTTTAAAACACAGTATAACAGAAAAGAACCCTTCCTAGGTATTGGTCTAGTCTGGCACTTAACCTGGACTTTGCTCCTTGAATAATGTAACCTGTTTGCAAAATAAATGTCGTACCCGTATGTAATCTACCAAACTAGATGGCCGAGGCGTGAGGGCTCGCCTGTAGTCGTGTTCCTGTGTGTGTGTGTTTTCCAACAGCCGTACTGTCCCCTGTAGTTAAGAGTACGCTTTGTAGCAGCAGAGCCGTAGAAAAAGAAAGCAATACTGTACATAGAATGACCTTTATATTACCCAATCAAGCATGGGTCTCTCTCTCTCTTACGAAAGGGTGCATGGAGAAGGGCTGGCAATGTTGAAAACAAAACAAGAAAACCCCAACACCTGTATTTGCACGTGCAAAACTATACTGGGTCAAATTAAGGGTATCCCCCTTTTTTCCCTTTTACCAAGTGTGAAAGAGAGACACAAAGAACGTGCATGGAATATTCAAAAGATATTAGACTAGAAGATAGTCCGTAAAGAAAATTTTAATATATTAAGTTATAATTGGAAAATGTTTGAAATCTTTCTTACGTTCCCCCTACCTTTTTAAAAAAATATTTTAGCTTGTGTATATTTTTTATTAAAGAAACCATACCCTTCTCTAAGACTATATAGAAAGTTATATACAGTACTTTTGAACACATTCTGCTATGAATTATTTATATAAGGCCAAAGCTGTATGGTGTCGCGCTTTTTTTTTTTGTAGAATATAGTTTTGTTTTTTTGATTGTCTATTTTTTTGGTCTTTTGTTTTTAGGGGAGGAAGGAAAAAAAAATCTTGCAGAGCAGAACCTTGGGGAAAAATAAGCCATGAATACTTATTATTCTATATGTAAATTTAAAATTTGAGCCAAACTTGTGTATATAGCAATCTTAAATATATTATCACCTTTTGGTGTAAGTACCTATGTATTGTACGTTCGCCAGATTAAAAAAGTATATTTTTGTGGATTGACGCCAACTTGAAGAAAAAAAAAGGCGAGGTCCTTATTAAGTAGAGTATTCACTGTTTAATATTTACTATTTTGTTCAATATACTGTACTTCCTTTTGGATTTTAATTAATATTATCCAGATTTTTCAGAGGGTGTTTAAAAAGGGGCCTGTTCCCCACTCACTGGTGGTGAATGTGTGTTAAAACATTTTTGTGCTGTATGGTAAGGCTTCATAAATACATTTTATAAATATATATATACATATATGTGTATATATATACATATATAAATATATGTATATAGATAGCAAAGTGATACCCACCCTTCCAATCCATCCAGAAAACCTGGTGTTAAGTTCATCCTGCATAAATAGAAAATAAAATGCATTTGGGGGGGGGGGGGTAAAGGCTGTGGGTTGTTGCCAAGGTTAATCATACTCAGAGTTCACTGGTTTGAAATTGACATGGCTGACCTTTACAAGTCAACTAATTTCAGTGGGTCTATCCTGAGTAGAATTAAGGTGGTTACAACCTGTTATTTTAAAACTGCCTCTTTGGGGGTGGGGAAGATTACCTTATTGTTCATGCTGAAGTAGCAGAAACATACATCAGAAGCAAAAAATAAAAGGGTTTTGAAGTGGTGTGTGGGTTGGGGACAAAGTGTTTCAGAAGTTTCCTTTTCTTAATGCTCGTATCCTTTAAATAGAGCACCACCTCAAGTGATGTGGCTGGTCAGTGCTTTGCATGTGTGGCGGGTAGGGGGCGCTGATTTCTACAATCGCAGCTTGAGAGCTCTGCTTCTCATGATACCTGTGGAAACAACACACTTTTCTGAAACATCTAACTGCAGGGAGCAACAGTAGGCCAGCAGAATCCCTGTGGCATGTTTACATAACCAAACATTGTTTTGTGATGCATATTTGAGTATGTACATGCTACATCTTTAGGGCCAAACTAGATATGGTGTTGAACGTGGTCCTTGCATTTTTGATGTGCACACGTTTTAAAGCAGGCGTCGGCCAGGCTTACCGGGCATGGGCCGGATCACTCCCATGGAGATCCTTCTTGGGCCGGGCCGGTGCAGTGCAATGCCCGGAAATCACATCTGTTGCATGTCCGCGGCGCCGGAAATTGTTTACTGTGCATGCCCAGACAACCGAAAATCATGCCTTGCACAGAAGTGATTTTCCGGCATCTGGGCATGCGCAGAAGCGATTTTCTGGGTGGCTGGCAGACATGCACAGAAGCAATTTTCTGGAGCCGGGGAAGAGAGTCCCTGCTGTGCTGGTTTAGCGTAGCACGCGGGGACTCGCCTAGTGGGCAGCTCGGTTCGGGGGTGGCTCATGGGCCGGTTAAAATGGTCTCCATGGACTGCTTCTGGCCATGGGCCGCTGTTTGGGGCCCCCTGTTTTAAAGCATTCAAATTGGTAGAGGTAAGGATTTTAAACCCCTCTCTCCTGGTTGCAGTTCTTGACTCTTCCAAGCTGCTGTTTGCATTAGGAGAAGTGCTCCCATTGATATTTATTATTATTATTCTTTATTAAATTTGCATACCACCCCTTCATCCGAAGAGCCCAGGGTGGTTCACAACAGAAAAATACAAAATGAGAATACAAAATCTATAATAAAGCAAAAACAGGTGCATTTAAAGTTTAATATACTGTTGCATTTGGCTTGGTCTTAATGAGCATATTATTGGCCGTGCATGCCAAAGTAACACATGCAGTAGCTGAACTATCCCCCCCAAAGCCCTTAACCTATTATAGGGAGAAAAGTAAAGCCTTTGTTACTTAGAAATCTGGATTTAAACAACCTAAACTCTCTCTAACTTTTGGCAAAATATCAATAAAACTAAGCAAGAGCCAGAGTTGAATAGGAGCTCTCATTTATTTTTTCTGTAATATATCCTCAAGTGGCTGCCTTAGTTATTTATTTTTAAAGATAAGCAAGGTATGGGCAAAAACTATGCCCTGTATAATTCATTTCACCTATAATTCTTCCCCACCTTATGTAAAAATTGTACAAACTGGTGGTGGATTATGTGCTTTATAGCTGGCTCCGGTTTAGTTTTCATTAAGGGTTCTGTAAATGCATAAGCTTCTAGGATCTCTCTTTCTTAGAAGCATTTTGAGGAACTAATGCACACTAGGTACTGTTACTTCTCGTCTGGATAGGGTAGAGCAGAAAATGTCCCAGTGGTCTGTCAGCTTTCCTCCCTCCCCCCCTTCCAAAAAAAAATCACACTTAACACAGAAACCACACCACCAGCTTCATTAGATCCTTTTGATGCTTCGGATTGGGTATGATTCTCCCTGCACTATTTTATGCACCTACATGAACTTTGCTGGTACATTTGATGGGAGTTCTTCATTTCACATTTACTTGTCTGATTTCTTGTGTGCCTTAATGAGATGGCTTTGCTGACTGTATCCCAATAGTCTCTTATTCCTATGCAGGTTTGTAACGAGTTACATCAACTTTTTCCCCCGTTAAAAAAAGAAAAGAAAAATATATAGTTTTGGCTTTGTACATTGATCGAGCCGGCCAATTTTCTTTCTTTCTTTCTTAAAGAAATAATAATAATCCGTTCTTAGGGTCAGACTGTTAACTTTCAGCTAATCTCTTGTTCCAGGATCAGGTCCTATCCATTGTCTCCTGCAAAAGAGCTTTACATCATGAAAACAAAACATGCTGACTTTTTTTATATAATTAACACTAATAATGTAACTCTAGATTGTTTTTGAAAGTCTTACACAGTGGTCTTAGAGATAAAGATAGTTGCAGCAGGGCAGAGGATTGTGTGTGTGCGCAGCTCTGTCCTGTACTTTTGCATGGGAGCGAGTCAGTGTTTCTATGCTGTCATTTGCTATTCCTTCGTACCAAATACTAGATTTTGCACTGAAGCACCTGGCCCCATAACGGCCCAGAATGCCTTTAGGCTGGTACACTGATGAGCCCCCTTCCCCAGGCCCACTGCACTGCTCCATTGAATAAAAACCTTAATATTGCAAGGCACAAAGTTAAAAGTCACTTAGCAGTATGCTCCCCCCCCCAACTGGTAAAATGTTGTTTGCGCAAGAGAATTCGTAAGCAGGTTGCTTGTAATTTGGTTGTGCAATAGATTGCGACGTCTGTTGCGAACAAGTTTCTGCTAGCGCAACTGCTGCATCAAATTCCACCTGCTAGCACCAGAAACTTTGTGCTAGTAGACAGAGCATGGGGTACAGCCCCAAGTGTTGTAGCTAATGTGGCAGCAGAGGCTTTTGAGGGTCCCACTTTGGCCAGAGTCTCAAACAAGCTCCAGTTTCTGAGCAAAAGTACCTCATGCTTCTTAGAAAACCATTTTTTGCAATATGGAAGGGAGTTACGCTATATCATTGCAGGGCAGAGGTCGGGGAGACAGAAAGAGGTGCTATTTAAACTTGCTGAAAATCATACTGGGCGCCTGCAGGTCCTTTTGCTATGCCCAAAGTAGCTTTATATCTCTCAGTCCCCTTAAGCCCCAAGGTTTTTAGGGCAACTGTTTTAAGCCATTCCAGATGCGAAGGGAAATACATGGTGTGGTTTCTGCGTCAGGGGAATTGTTGCTTGGAAGAGCTCCTGTGCCACACTCCCCATTTGGGAGAAACTGCCACGCCGGTCCTGTTAGCTTTTCAAATGCAGGGTGCTTTGGGCTGGGAAGTGCTTTCAAAGAAGCAACAATCTCAACCTCTTTCCTTAACAGGTTCTGAGGTGCTACTGGCTCTTTAAGAGGGCTGTACCAATCTTGCTAAGATTCAGCTTTTGCAAATTCAACAGCAGCTTGTACAATGAAGCTATTCAAAGACACGCACCCCTTTTATTTTTAGAACCATGGAATATTGTGACAGTAAAAATAAATAAAGTGTAAGTAGAATCAATGGCATTTTAATTGAAGGTTGCAATTGGATTAAATCTTGTGCAAATCCAGATTGCTAGAATTGGGGTCAAATGTTGCATATGGTGGACATAGCAATACTGACTTGTTCGTACCTGGTATCTCTCTTTTTTAAAAAAGAAGTAAGGCATGTTGGAAATGCTTTAGCCTTTAAACTATAAAGGACACTAATGCATTGACAAGTCTACTGTGCGCACAAGAAATATATAGTAAATAAGGAACATAAATGACTCCTGCCAAATCAACCATGGGAAGAAGTTTAAAATTTAGAATGTGAAAAGACTTTAAAAAAAATATTGGGAAATTTCCTCACTTTGCTGTGCAAGAAAACACTGCTTTGCTATATTTAAAAAGAAAAGCTTTTTTTTAAAATAAGAAAAAAATATATGTATTTGGT